AAAGAGTCTCTTCTACTACTCATCATAATCAAGTCTAAAATAGCAATCAATAAAGCTGGCTCAGCAATTCTTCAGTGAAAAAAAATTAGTGGAAATTTCATCCAGAAATGTCTGGATTAGCTATTATTAACAGAATTCATTCTCTAATCTTTCTGGAAAATTCAACTCTTCCATAATAATGACACTTCCTAGTAGTGTTAGAGGTATTCTTATCCATATCTGAAAACAGTTTAGCAGTCTAGATGAATGTTTAAATAATATTTCAGTGGAACCTGTCATCTTTCCCTGGACTCACTCAGGTAGACTATGAAAAACTACGCTTGATCGAAGTCATCCTCTCAAAATGTTACCGTACAGTATTATCTTCACCTTAAAGAGAAATATCTAATCTTATTTGATCTAGTCTTTAATTTAATCTTGAAGATTACATATTTCTCAACAGCATTTACCAGTCAGTATTCACATTCTCAGTACAATTATTACTTAGATCAGATTTCTCCATCTAGTCTGTTCTGCTCATAGCTGGAGTTCTTGCCTTCTCAATGTAATAAAACTAAACTGAAGATAGTGTAGCTACTTTCTCCATGCATTTCCCAGTTTCTTATAATTTCTGATAGAAAGCTATTCCAAAAGGCTATAATCTCAGGTCCTTTCAGGAGGATGATCTCATGCTTATAGCAGATAAATTACAGAATCTTAGAATCTTAGAAAAAGCTAGGTTGAAAGGGACCTCTGGGGGGTCCAACCTCCTGCTGCAGTCAAAGTTAGCTTCCAAGCTAGCACAGGGCCTTGTCCAGTTGGGTGCTGAAAACCTGTAAGGATAGAGATTCCATGACCTCTCTGGGCAATGTATTTCTATGCTTGACCATTCTCATGGTGAAGAATTTTTTCCTTATCAGAAAAAGTCAGATTTTCTGCTGTTACAACTTGTGCCAGTTACTTCTTGTCCTCTCCCTATGCACTTCTGAAAGTGCCTGGGTCTATCTTATGCAAAGAACTCCCTTAAGGGATTTCTTCCAATAGAAATTCTTTCCAATTACAATTAGATTTAAAACCTGCCCCCCTCCCTCCACTTCTCTGCTTCTGTATAGAACTGAAATGCTTTGTGATACGAAGTTGTTACAAATGACCAACTCTTGATCTATTCTCTGTATTTCTGTTTTCCAGGGTGCTTGACATGTGTGGATAGTTCCCCTGCTCTGTGAAGTGCTAGGATTTAGGCACTCCACAGTTCACAAGTAAGCATGTGTATGAAGAGGAGGAACAGCCACACACAAACATCTATGCAAGTCCTTTGCTTGGTGGGAGAAAAGTTTGTAAGATTTTTTGACCTCACCATGTCTTATATCTTCATTGGGAATACATAAGGAAAAACTAGAGCACGAGTGAAAATAATTTCTTGTAAAATAGCAGTTTCACTGCCAAAAAGACAAGAGGACCCTGTCTGGTGGCTTTCTCCTGAGAGAAGACCTTCCTGCCCTCACAGCTGCCATTTGTATTCACTTCCTTAAGGATTTTGCCAAGCTTGAATATCTGTGTTGACATGATTCCTTTGTGTGCATAACATTATTTTCTTTGGAATTTAACTTTCAGTACCAGTTTGGTTTTGCTGTCTCAAAAGAAGCAGCTGCCACAGTTACATCTTTGGACTAGGCAATACGAGATGGAGTAGCAAGTACTACAGGAGAGATGCACTTGTATATAGTACATCCTTGTATGGCACGTTTATTGCTAAGGTGTACTTACGGTAGCAAAACAGCAAAAAAAATTCCATTTGTATGTTCAAAGAGTATCTCAGTATTTTTTGTGATTACAAGGAATAGTTTTGGATCTGAAAACTAAAACATTGCAAATCATCAGAAAGATACTACAGTTTATTTTCATCACTTACAGTGAGCTAGAAGAACAACACAGCAGGGCACAAGCAATCTAGATTTCTGCAGTGTATTGACAACAGCTTCCTGACGTAGGTGATGGAGAGGCTAACAAGTAAAGGTGCTCTGCTGGACCTGGTACTTCCACACCCCCAACCAGTTCTTCCTCATTTGTAAGGTGGGTTCAGCTTTGGCTGCAGCGAACATGAGATGGTGCTGTTCAGGACACTAAGAGGAGGTAGCGGGGCAAAAAGCAGGACCAACAGACTTGGATTTCAGAGAACAGGCCTCTTCAGCGATCACCTTGGAAGAATCCCATGGGATACGGCCCTAGAGAAAAGGAGGGTCCAGGAGAGCTGGTTGATATTCAAGGATCACCTCCTCCAAGCTCAAGAATGGCCCATCCTGACAAGTACGAAATCAAGTAAAGGTAGCAGAAGGCCGGCATGGATGAGCAAGGAGCTCCTGACTGAACTCAGATAAAAAGGAAATGTACAGGAGGTGGAAGCAGGGGCAGGTGACCCAGGAGGAGCATAGAGATGCTGGCTGATCATGCAGGGGTGGGGTTAGGAAAGCCGGGGCCCACTGGAGGCTGAATCTGGGGAAGGAATGTGAAGAGCAACACGAAAGGGTTCTACAAGAACACGAAGAGCAAAAGAAAGAGTAGAGAAAATTTGGGCCCAGTGCTGAGTGCAGCAGGGGGCGTGGTGACCAGTGACGCAGAAAAGGCTGAGGTACTCAATGCCTTCTTTGCTTCAACTGGTAAGACCAGCCTTCAGGAATCCCAGGCCCATGAGACCAGAGGGAGCTGGCTGGTGTCACTGTGAGGACACTCTCAATAATCTTTGCACGGTTATGGCAATGGGGAGAGGTTCCCGAAGGCTGTTAAGAAGGCAAATGCCAGTCCTTTCTTCAAGAAAGGCAAGAAGGAAGATCCAGGGCACTACAGGCTGGTCAGCCTCACCTCAGTCCCTGGGAAAGTGATGGAGAAAATCCTCCTCAAAACCATTTCCAAACCACTGAAGGACAAGAAGATGATCAAGAGTAGCCAACACCAATTCACAAAGGGGAAATGACGCTTAACCAACCTGATAGCCTTTCACAATGAGGTGACCAGCTTGGTGGATGAGGGGAGAGCAGTGGATGTTGTTTACCTCAATGTCAGGAAGTCTTTTGATGCTGTCTCCCATTACATCCTCATAGACAAGCTGACAAAGTATGGAGAAAATAAGCGGACAGCAAGGTGGATCGAGAACTGGCTGAAGGGCCAGGCCCACGCAGAGAGTTGTAGTCAGTGGCACAAAGTCCAGTGCAAGGCAAGATGCTAGTACCCCAGGGGTCAATACTGAATCCAGTCCTGTTCTGTTTAACATCTTCATTAATGATCTGGATGATGGGGCAGAGTGAGAAGCTCAGCAATGTTGCAGATGATCCAAAACTGTGAGGAGTGGGTGACGGACCAGATAGATGCGCTGCCCTGTTTCTGTTCAGTATTAAGGCGAGACACGAGAATGATGTACTGGCAGTATAAGGGGTATGCTGCAGATTTTCATTCTGAGAGCAGCATAGGTGTCAGATCCTTCACAACTGAGACAGCTCATAATTATAAAGGCTTTGCTATCAAACTGTCTTTGCCAGGCAATGCTGATTTCAAGAGCTCCTATTTCTTGATCCTTACTCTTTATTTCCAGCATTTAGGTGGGTCACTGCTCCCTTAATTGTTTGGCAAAACTGACTGACTAGGCGGGAAGCAAAGAATGTTTGAAACTCAAAACTTTTTCATCCAGTTCAGGTGGAAGTCTCACAAATGATGTGGCAATGGAAAAAGCAAGCAACTAGCATTGAGAGGGGAAAAGGCAGCTGCCAGTATCATAGCTGACTGAACATAAAATGACATGTAACAGACAAACAGAAAACACATATCCCTAAGAAGTGGGGCTGGGGAGGTGCTTGGAAGAGGCATTTCAGAGGGTAGGGAAAAGGGAAAGGAAACAGTCCAGACCACAAATACTTAGTTTGAGTGAACAGATCCTCCTCTTTAGACTTTATCAAGACTTTGATATCAGTTATCTCGCAAACTTCCTTGTTGGTTCCTAGAAATTCAGTGTTAATTGTTTACAGCTACATATAGCACTATGAAATTTATCTTTTGAAGCAGCACAAAAATTCAGACCAAAAACTCCTAGTATTTTAGACTTAGTAAAGATAAGGAAGCAAATTTTCTCCTGGCATGAACAAGATATTTGCAAATATCAAAAGTGGTTTTGTATTTTTATTAATATTTACAAAATATTGTAAATTCATAACATTTGTCCAGCTTGCACATATAAATGGTACAAAATCCCCCAGTTACATCAGTACTGAATTATAAAAGTTTTATTTTAAAATTACTGAAAAACACACCTTATCCAGTATTCTTTCCATCCAAGTAAATATACATATCAAATTAAAAAATATAAATATTATATTTTCTTTGTGTTTCAAGACACAAGGGATCACAAAAACATCCATCTTTTTTAGATCCAAGGTAGAATTCTCATAGTGAGCATTTTAATGCAACTACCAAGTATTGTTACTCTCAAATTAAGTATTCTCTAGTGTGATTAAAAAAAATCTAAAAATATGGGGAAACAGAAACAACTTCTACAGATTATTAGGGTTAGGAGATGGGAAACATCATAATGATCACAATTCACGCAGTTCTGTCACTGATGAAATAAAATATTCCTCCTTGAAGATGTTCAAGTTAAGACCTGAACAGAACTGGTAGATAACGCTACTATAAACATTTAATGACTGCTGCCATGATACTGGGAAAATGATCACTTTTTAGTTTCTATATAATACAAATTTTTCTAACACATTATTTATTGTTTTTCAGTCAAGATTCACATACCAGTAGACAACAACCTCCCTCAACAAACAAATCAAACGAAGGTTTTAGTAGATTGCTAACAACATGATGTGCTAAGTAGGGGTTTTTTTGTTTAATCCAGCATATATGATGATAATATTATACAGGAATCCTCATAGAAAAGAGGACAAAATTGACGTTTCTGCCATGGACAAAAACTTTATAAAAACATAATACAATTAAAATACAAAATATATATAGTACACTTCAGATTAGTTAGTAGTGGCATTTGAGGTTTCTGGAGACTGAAGAAATTCATAGGGATCATGAACAATGTCTTGCTGTTCTCCAACACTCAGATGAGAGGGGCTTCCTGTAGAATATGGAAAAAATCAAAACCTTTAAAAGTACAGAAAAATAATGAGGAGATACTTATGCATATAAACAGCATGTTCCTTTCAGACTTTTGAAGCAAGACAGACATTTAAATGATACTTAAACAGCAGATTTTGAAAAAGAAATTACAAGATTCTTCAGTAATTTAATCCTTTTTGAAACAGCAGTCATTATTACTCTAAGTTGAAATATTATACAAAATGTAATTGAGTATCATCCAACCAACATCTCCTACCTTCTTAGAAACGGCACAAAATTGTTAAGTGGTGTTACCCTATCATCCTGTCTTATCACTGAATTTTACAGTTGACAATGGAAGGCTATTGTAGAATCCCACCTGTTACTTGCTGCATAAAACTATGCCTAAGTAAAATAAACATTATACACTCCTTAGTATTTCTAAGAGCATAAAATGCGAGTGCATATAGGGATTTGCCAGTCAGTATCAATTTACCTCACAATTACTTCAATCATGACTAATCAAAAAATAAGTAACTACAATTAGTGTCCTTAATTCCACAGGTCAAAAGTAGGTCATCTTAGTTTCCTTTGCCATGCATATTCAAAAATTAAAACATGATCCTGTAGTCAGCACAGTGTTTTATCAGAGCAGTTTTGTGCAAAGATTTATGTAAATTAAAATGTAAGTTTTAATCAGTTTCAATTAGAGCAGAAGTACTGCAACTTCTGTGACACAGGTAACTTTACCAAGATGATGTTGGTCTCTTTCAGAGGTATTGGAGAGGGAACTTAAATTGGATGATGGCCGGGATCCCACTCTGTCAGCCTGAGCTTCATGAAGGTCCTGCAGCAGCTTAGTTGTTTCATCCAGATGTAAATGGTTATCGTCATGATCAAGCTCCTTCTTCACTTTCCCTAAACCAGTTATCAACCAAACCCCATAATTAGCACATTCAGATTCACTGATGAATTACCAAGTAACTATAAAAAAATTCTACAATAAATTAACACAAGTGTTGTCTATTACACAAACAACCTCAATCTTGCATTTTCCTTTGCACTTCTAAAAGTCAATGGCTGCAGATCTGTTTTCAGTTTCAAGAAATACATGTTGAAAAGCATTTGGCTATATTGGAGGATGAAGGAGAGTGCCATGGGAAATGGCTGAAACTGAATTCACTCCCAGTATTTAAACAGCTAATTAATTTGTCTTCATCTGTTAAACTCCAGACTTGAAATAATGCATTTAGTTTGCAGCAAAGGAGAGGAAGTCAGTAGAAAGACTAAAATATCTAACTTAAAACACAGTTAAAATAGAACATGTAAATTATGGACGTGAAGAAATCCTCATCACAGAAGATTTTAAGAACAGTATCTTCTCCAGCTACACTGATTTTATAGTAAGCCAAATAAAATTGTGAAATTGGAAAGAACTGGAAGTTTGTGCCAACATATGCTGTTCTTTCATCTGAAGACTTAAAAAAACTTCCCTCCACTTTAAACAGGAAAATAAACTCTTTCCATCCCTTCTCTTTGGGCTGTCTTCAATGCAGACCTTGCTAACTTTGAAAGAATTACGATAAGAAATAATGCCATAAACTCTCTCTGGAAGCTAAGTAATCGAGAAGTATTATTATTTACAGAAAAATCAAAGAAAAAAAATATAAGCAGCTTTCAGTGGAGCAAGAAATTCATAGTCAGATTGATATGTCTAAACCTTATCTATAAAACAGGTATTTATTCATTTTTTACTGAACTGCAACAAAATTAGCGTGTGACAGCATAATCAGAGCTTAAAATTGCTTTTCAAGAATACTGCACCTATGGGAGAAATCCATAGAAATCTTTTTTATTTAAGCTTTCAATTACCTCGGTTATGTTTTATAATAGATAGTTTGGCATCTTTCACATTCTGAATTAGAAGTATCTTAAACCATAAGAAGTATTTTTTTTGTGATGACATTTTTGAGACATTTGACCAGTTCAGCAGCCTGCAGAAATAGGACCATTACTTCTTGTAGTATTTAAAGAAGGATACCTATCAAAGATGGGTATTTGAAACAACATCCTAATACTTTTATACAACTGCTTTATTTGAAGGTAAAGCCTTTCCAACACCTGAAGTTTCTTCTGATTTTTGTTCTGGGACATTCCAAATGGTGACATGATTGACCTTCACATACTTACCTACTTCCCAAGTTATTTCAAAAGACAGCATATGAAGCAACAACATTTCTGAGCCAAAGCTCCACGCTGATTCTTAAGATTTATGTTACTATGAACACATAAAAAACAAGCAAAGCTATCAAAATTGTGAGGTACAAATACTTTGGTTTCTTAAGTGGTACAGGAAAAGATAGCTTGACTAGCACATGGACGTCTCAAAGGAAAAACAGACCAAGGTTTCATTTATCTTGTACTAGCCCTAGACTTTTACCTGTGTCAAATGCAGACTTATTACTACTTTTTGAACACTTTTTTTATTCTTAGAAAATCCAGCTGTTATTTTGCCTAAATGGTACAACTAAACCATAATTGACGGCTTGTATATTTAATTACTTACCTAACGAACTTAACATAGAAATATCAAGAGATACATCTGAATATGGTTTCATAGAGAGAAAGTCCAAGTCAGAAGTGTTACTGTCTCCAGCAGATTCTCCAACCTATTAAAATACAAGAAACAGAAAGACTAGCAATAGTGGCAAGCTGCCATAATAACTTCTTAATGTTTAAGGTAAACGCATGAATCCATATTCTCAAAAGTGTGCACCACAACACCTGAGACTGGAGCATCCATAACTGCCTTGGCTAACCTGCAACTCACAGGCAGCTCAAACATGGTTCCAGCACAGACCAGTCATATGAATGACAAAGGATCTGCAGGGTAGTCTAAATATCTTTCATCTCATCATCTGAGACTGTTGAAACCAACATTACCAAATCCTCTGGGACTCAATTACATGCTCAACTCATCCCTACCCCATGGCAGAACCCTGGCAGGGGGAAGCATTATCAGTATCCCCCATCATGAACCACTCCTAGATCCCCTTTTCCCTCGCCTTCTCAATGCAACACTGGATTTATTGAAATTTTTAGTATGTGACTAATAAAACCAGCAAGGTAGGCCTCCTTATACACAGTATCAGCTGGACCTGGTCTCTCAAGTATTTTTTCCACACATTTGGATAATGAAATACAGCCTGCACTACAACAATTTCTTTTTTTCCATACCTGTTGCAATACTGGCATGCAATGGCAAAAAGTAAGAGATCAAAGTAAAAGTTGTTAAGCCTCAAAACGTTCTAACAGAATTCTCTGAGGTTGCCTATTCCAGCAGGAGGAATAAGACATGCACATAAATACACCACCAGGTATTACCTTTTAGAAATATGAAAATGAAACTTAGCACTTTCATGAATTACCTTAACCAGTCACCTCCTAGAGAAATACAAACCTTTCCAGAAAACATAAGGAATATTTATAAAACTATAAATTTCATTAGTTGCTATAATGTAATCCGTATAATTTTTATGTGAATTGCCATGGAATACAGTGCATATCGTCTGTTGTCACAAATAATTTGCAAGAAAAAAACTGTACCACTTAAAGAAAGGTTTGATTAGTAGCTGTGAAATCACAAGATATGCATTATTTACCCCTACTTTCTAACAGACATTTTCAATGGATGCAGTAAAACTGATAAATACTACTGTTTTTTTCCACTTTTACAGCAGGTTGAACCTCAAATATTCATCAGCAGATCAAGTATCTTTCAGATTCCTAAGTGGTCTTTCTGCCTTACGCGTGCTGAATTAAACTAGAGAATACAGAACAGGACAAAACAAAGCCACTAACTAAAATAACTGTCAGAAAATCCATTTTAAGTACTGAAAGCTTATTCTAGATACTGTAGTTTTAATCTTCTACCTCAGAGCATGCACATCCTTGTACTGAAACACCTTTTTTCTTTTTTTTAAACCACACAAACCATTTTACCATAATCTGTTTGGAAGAATCCGGACAGGTATTACGCAACTTGTGCTCTTCTTTTATGAGAACTGGCAGAACCTAAAGAACCAAATCATATTTCAGATCTTAGCATTTCATAGCTTATGTTTCCTAAGAATACTCTCAGTTTGTGTAATTTAGTAGTTTACCATGATCAGATCCTAGGCTACCACGGAACACTATCTTGTTTTGTGACGTTTGCATAGAACCTTTACAAAAAAAATAAAGACTTGCTCTTCTCTAATGGGTGACCATATACATTCACGCGAACAATTTAGAACTAACCAGGACAGCCTCTTAGGACAGCCTCTTTAGGACTAACCTAACAGCCTCTTTAGGACTAACCTAACAGCCTCTTCTTTATCATATACTCCACTTACCAATCTTTTCTGTAATAATATACAGAACAGATGCATGTTAAATAAAATGAGGAATTTGAATGTTGGAAGCCCAGAGAACATCGCTTTCTCTACTTTAAAAGCCAAGACACTTTTTCCAGTTAAAAAAAACAAAACCAAAAACCAAAAAACAACAGACTGAGTATCAGCATAACTTACTTTAACTTCATCCAGCGGTTTTACTGGGATGTTTCTCCTCTGGAAAGAAAGAATACTAACAATTACTTTTATTCAACGTAAGAAAAAGGTCTCTCTCTTGTACAATTTCAAGTATATTCAAACTTCACAGACAAAATGAGGCTAGAGACAGCTAACTTTTTCACATACCTGTAATGCAATTACAATGTAACAGTTACTGTTTTGAAATATCTTAGTATTATGCATTTTAACTAATCGTTGATTCTCCTTACACTATTTCTTCCGCCCATGAACTTTATATTCAAGTGCAGTGTCTTAGTCATTACTTCAGTAACTTCTGATTCCAAATCATTTCTGATTCCAAATCATTTAAGGTTGTACTTTCAGAGATATTCATTCTTACTCAAATGTAGCAGCACAAAATACTCAAGCATAAAACACCATGGCACATCATCACTGAAACACATTTAATTGCACAAAATCTGTACATATCCACATACATCACAACCGAACAGAATTTCTAAGTGTAAATAGCCATTGACCATTTGAAAGGTATTCAGAAATTCTCATTTGGAACAATATTCATAGAACAAGGCGGCAAAAAGGGAAAGGCACGTGTTTTATTTTAAAGCTAAGTTCAATATATTGTATGCACACATTTCTAGACGTAGAAGAATATTCAAAATATTGGGTTTGAACTTTCAATTTTTTTTAACTAATCCTTTATATTTCTTCCTGTTTCATATGCAACCTCTTTCCAGTGAGGACTGGAAAAAAATAGCCAGAAAATTCTGAAGGACCCTCTGTATTTTTCATTCTGTTGTCTCCTTTTCCCCAATCACCACCCACCCTATTCTACTTCTACGTCTGCAGAGAGTTAGCATAATCTCATTTCCACCATGTCAGGAAGTCTGAGTACCTCCCATCCCCATCCCCACCCCCACCTCCCTTTCTTTATTCTTGAATCATTCAGAATGTCATCATTTCAAAGAGCAGACAATTATTTCAAACTAAGAGTGGTTTTCAGAGTGAAGATAACATGAAACAGGACTTTGCAGTTTCCGGTAGCCTATTTTGTCTTGGGAATGCAAACATTCCCACCAGAATTATACACACTGCTGAGAAAAATCTCTTCTCCAGTCTTAGTATGAATCTCCTAGGTAAAGTGCTTTTGGAAATAAGTTAAAAGTTTTTCCTTCAGACATACTGCATGAATTTAAAAGTTAGCATTGTTGGGTAATAGATACCTGTACAGTGATATTAATTTATTCTCCAATATTATTTCAATGTTCCAAATAATTAGTCCTTCCACAAGGAATGTATTTTGCATTTAAATAAAGACAAAAAAAATCCTTAACAAAAGCATTGCAATATAACTCAGAAGCAGGTACGTAAGTCATGACATTGAGTGACAGGGCTGCCCAAACACCATTCAGTTGGTTGGTCCCTTCTCCCCCCTGCTATGTTGCATCCCCCTGCCTCTTCCTTTCTGCAGTCACATAGTGAACCACACTGGAGAACTGATCTAGCTGGAGAAAAGAAAAAGATTACTTCTCTTGCTGATCAATTCAGTTTCTAATTTGGTTCACTGCATAGTTGCATGCACAGCTAAGCCTGCACTGCTTAAACTGACAGTCAGTGGAAAACAAAGCATCTCACACAATATTAAAAAACAGAAACAGGTCCATTCTTGTTTTGATGAACTTGTGACATTTCTGTGCATCAAGGACACACCTGCTTTAGCTGATAAATAGTTTTGGAATGATCTCCACTAGTGATCTGGTCCAGAAGATCATCTACTATTTTCTTGCTGTAATTTCCAGCATCCTTCACAAATTCTTGTAAGCTAGTAGGAATGGAGATATAAGCATTACAGGAAATGTTTACTTTTGTAAAAAAATACTTTAACTTATAACATGGTTTTCCCCAACTATGCTGCATTACACCTACATTTTCCTTGCTCTTTTATGCTTCTTCAGAAAAGAAATTAAGGCATTCAAGGCTGGGGATTTTTTCCTTCTCAACCTCCCTTTTTTTTTTTTTTTAAATGAAAGTAAATGTATTTGCAAACTTCTTTTTCACAACTACCAGCAAATTTTCACTTGAACTATCATTGGTAGAGGGTTAAAAAAAAAAAAACCAAAACAAACCACAAAAGCTTGTGATTAATTTTTTCCCTCCAAGATTAACAACTTAATGAAAAGTGGCATTTTCCTTTTCAAGTAGCTTTAACTGTTTTGAAACTCCTTGAAAAATATCACTGTTTTAAAGTCATAGAAATCTATTACTTGCATATCTAAACCTACTTACTACTGGGTTTAAAGCAAAACGCTAAATCTTTAGCAACCTGTAACATTCTGTGGTCAAAGACTCTAATAACAAGATTCATAACATCCTTGCAATAAAATAGGGTAACTTAAAAGTGCAGATGGAAAAAAAAAACCAAAACCAAACAACAAACTAAACCCAAACCCAAAAAACACCCCACCAACCAGGATGAAAGCTAGCTTCAAGTTTTATATTGAGTTATTTCAACAATAACTTTTAGAAAAAAATATCGGGATTTGGAGGCTCCTAGTTGACATTTAGTCCAAACTGCTTTTCATAAAATTGCTATGAGAAGTTAGGCCTCCTAATAAGGAAGCGCTTACCTTAAGGCACACTGTATCCCAGTTTCATCACCATATGCCGAGTACAGGAGTTCCATTTCATCTGATTTCAAATCATGAAATATAGAGTTGTTTTGCATGGAAGGTGCTGTACTAGCACTTGTAAGAAAGGTTACTAGACAGGTAGAAGAGAGAGATGACAAATGATTAACACAAGTGTAAAAGATCACTTAGGGGGAAAAAAATAACAGAAAAAAAAAGCTTTTGTTTTCTGAAACAGACACAGAAAGTGCAGTGTGTTTTTTCCTCCAATTGAAATCAAGAGCAATATCTCAAGGACAATTCCAGACTCTAGAATCAGCGCAACTATTTTGACCATATAAACAAACGTACTTATACTACTGGAAAATAAACAAATAAGTTAACCACTCCCACAAAAAAAAGATTCACCCCCCCCCGCCCCCTTTTATATTTCTGCTTTTGGCGTGTGTCTACTTCACTGTTGTTTGCCAGTCAGTTTCTGGAGAGCAAAATAGGAACTATTAAAAATATCAATAATACCAGAAAAAAAATTGACAGTTTGTGAAATCCTTGTCATATGATACAAAAATGCAAGTGACCAAAAGCTTTTTTTTCTCAACTCTAAGTGCAATTACTCAGGAAAAATTATTTCCTCCAGAGAAAATGAAGTACCATTATCAGAAAGCTTCTAGTGTGGCTATAACACTAAGACAAAACATTAATCCATAAACTTCTAATTAAGTTATGTTTAACAAGCAAAAAAGTCAATTTAATTAAAACTGCATCCTGCTGTAAATAGAATTAATTATACGTTATAGAAATAACCAAGTGAACTTTCATTTGGAGACAGGTCTAAACTGAAATTATTTTATATCAAGAAATTGATCAAAAATTTAATTAACACAAAGTTAAAACATGTTCCTTGGCATTTACCTTTATTTCTTCGTTCATCTTTGAAGCCTAGCGTAGTGAAGCCAGGTAATAATTTGCTTGACAGGGAACTCAGATCCACTGGGTGAGTCTCTTCCTCTAATAATTTGATTTAAAAGATGATAATAATTTTTAGAAAAGCACTTCATGTTTAAAATTTATTTACGGTGAATATTTAGATTTTGCTATTTTAAAAAGTTGCATTTACCATAAAGGCTAAATGTCTTTTAATCTGTACATTTGTACTAAGGATAGGTAGTGTAATTCAGGTTCTCCATTTAAATTTCAAATACATGCTGTAAATATGTTTCCATCTCTTACTCACAAGATCGATGGCTTGCTTAGTTATTTCACTTTTAAAGTATACAGCAGCATCTGAAATTCTTTTACTAGCTGATTCACAAACATTCAAGATCCAAATATTATGAAGTGATAAAAGCTGTTTTTTATGTTGACTAAGTGGCAGTTTGTCTGTAAAAACCCAGACACCATGTAAAGAACCTTGTTAAGATAATTAGCATTATGGCTATAGCAGTATTTTTTTCTTCCAAAGTTCTGAGAACTGCCTAATTAAAATGGCTCAAATAATTTGGAATATGCTTTTAAACTCAAAAAAATCCCAACAACATTTAGGACATGTCCAGTTATTTTTAATCTCTCTGGCTGCTATGGAATCTAATGGTAATTATGCTCAATTACTGAGCAACAGAAATCAAGTTTATCCCTAGAACCTTACTAGGATAAAAAAAAAATAAACTACAATAAAAATTCAGATTATACTATTAGCTGAAAATTCAGTGTAACTAGTATGAACTATACAAGCAATCAAAAAAGATTCTGGAGCACAGAAACATCAGGAAGCAGTACAGTACTTTACAGCACACAGTGAAAGCTTGCTCTGCTCCCATTACCAGCACAGTCTAAATTTTCAGTAGCATGATTTCAGAGGTATTAATCACATTCATTTTATTACTTATTTTTTTCAGAAATAGATAAGGGCATGATGGTAGTCGAAATGCTCAATTTCATTCCAGAAAAATTTACTACGAAATGAAAAGGAATTTAGACAGTAATAGTTACAGGCTTCTATCTCCCCATCAAAAAAATCAACAGAAACGTGAGTAGTCAAAAGGGTTCATGCATTCACCAATGCAACAACAGGTAAGCTGTGAATGCATTCCAATCTCAAAAGGTGCAGAGAAGGAAGTGCTAAATCAACATGACATACAGCAGCATAGAGACTATGACATTTCATTCATTACAAACTTTCAAAACTTCTGCATTTTGAGCTCGAAATTAAAACAAGTGGAAAGCATAAGACAATATAAATAATGTATAGTAGTTAGACAAACAAAAACCCACAGAAAAGATCAAGGAACTAAAAAAAAAAATTAAGCAAAACCTAATTAACTTAAAACTGAAATTTAGTTAATAATTTAAATTAGGAAATAAAAAAGGTAAAAGATGATTCTGAATTTATATCTGTGCATTGCACATTTACATAGGGTTACAGCACTTTCATTCACCTTTTGTCTATTAGATTTTAACACTACAGGGTACTTGGAGCAAAACCCTGTCTTCCAAGTTCTCTATAAAGTTGTAGCTATGTGTAAGTGCTTATAAATAGATATTATTTTACCTTCTGTTAGCATCAGTAAAACAGAGCATCTGAAGAGTGAAAATTTGAAAGGCAAAGAGAAACATCTGATATTGGAGACACTAAATATAGCTGTTGGGGAAAATGGTTTGGGGAATAATTTGGAGTTTTTTAAACTCATCTATGCTACACAGGATCTGTATCTACAGTTAAGACTTCAAAATCTGCTAGAACATTCAACATTAGAAATGTTTGCTTGACAGTTCATGGCATTTACCTTCTGCTTCTGGATCAGATGAATTTACCACACTAAATAATAAAGTTCCATCTCCATTTTTTTTCAGATAACCAATCTGTAAGTAGAACCACAAAGATATAGAAGCAATCATTCAAAACAGTCCAAACTCAGAGAAGGAGTTATTTACTTATACAGAAAACTATAAAAAGCATTTTTAGCTGTATTCAGATCCTGTACTCTGGTATTCCCTGTATAATACAGAGAATCTTGGGTCACAACTATTTATCACTGCCTAGCAAATGCTTCAGAACAGAAGACTTCAAAGTAAAAGTTCGTATGTCATATATACAACTCCTTATTCATCTTCCTAAATCAGATCTGAAGTTTGCATCCAAGACAAAAACAATTCCATTATAATAAGCATGGAGCCAGGCTTTCTGACTGCCAAACCTAGAACACGTTTACTTTTTAGAAGCAGAAGTGTAACTCCTATCCACAATCTAGCTCACTGTTTATTTTCAAATCTAGACTGAACTGCTTGTTTTCGTATCTCACCCACAACTGTCTCTAATTAGAAGTACTTTTATGAACACACTATCAAATTCTTAGAGGAAGAAGTGCTGTGACAGACCTATCAGAGCACACAAACACAATGCTAAAAAGACAGCCAGAGATGCGAAAGACAATAGAACACACTGGGGTCTGTAAAGACAGAGCCAGAACTGATGCAACAAACTAAGCTGATGTCAGAAACTCACTACACATGAATCATGCAAAAAAGACACTAACTTCTCAGTAAAGACGGAAAATGAAAACTATGCTTTCCCTAAAGAAATATTAGAAAACACTTCCAAGTAAATTGAACATCAAATCTCTCCCCTATTTTTTTTTCCCCTCCCTCTTAAAAAGTTTATATAAGGCCAAAGCTAATGTCAGCATATAATAAAAATAGAGGTGACAAATGCTGGAAAGAGAATGAATGGGAACAATACCTTCAAGTGATGGCAAAAGTTAAAAATAGCTGAACTCTAGGAATGTGTCAGTGTTACCTAGATTCAGTGGAATCTGCAGTGGGTTGTCTAGCTGATTAACAGCCTAGACAATTAAGAGCTGCACACCTAGAACAACTCTTTCTTGAACACGGCAAAACTGACTGCATCAGCATGAAAGGCCTTTTCAGTAAAGCTAGCAATTAGCAGAAGGTGGGTATTGCTTTAAAGGGTTTTTAAAAAGCCACTCTTACTTTGGAGGTTTCAAATAGCCTTCAATCCTAGCAAGTCTTCTAATTATCCAAAGAAACAGAAATATACTGAAGAAGCTAAACCTTCTCCCACTGTTCTTTGAGGCTTTACTTGCTAATCCAGTTGAGCCTAAGATCACTGTGTAACAAAGGCCATTGTCCAAGAAATCAAGTTTTAAGTTTGAAGACACAACTGCTACCAGTAATGCTTCAAAGCAAATGTTTCTTCTGCAACAGTTGTTAAAAAAATAGGTGGAAAATGCAGGATGTAGCAACACCCTGATTTTTTTTTGATTGCAGTGGTCACTAGAGTACGCGACAATGAGAAATGAGGACAAAGTATAATGGTGGTAATAAGACTCCACAAGATTCAAGGGAAACAGAGTAGATGTATCTCAATGTAGGCCTGTAGCAAACGCCTGTAGCATTCACTCCAACCCTACCATGAAGTGATGAAGGAATCCACCATTATCACCATAGCTAAGAAAAACACAGCCTATAAACAGATCGTGCTGAGAAAACTGCACTAACAGTATCACTGTGCTTTTCCTTCTAACTCTTGGAACAGCACAAAAACCAAACGCACGGAACAGTATCAGAATCACGTTCAAGCTGATCAAACCTGTGGTTAGCACTGTCCAAAATTCCAACATGGACAAACTACTGCTATCTTTTCCTAGTCACTGAAGGATGTCTGTATTTTGTACTCACACAAGAATGTGCTATAGCTGACAGCTACTACTTATAGGTACAAAACTACAAGAGGTTCTGTACTTCTCATTGAAAAAGTAATTTAACACTTAAAAATTCCTGCATTCCTTAGATTGAGGGGGGAAATCCTAATAATCCTTCAACCTATGCCAAAGTTTGCTTTTTCTGAGGTTGCAACAATAAGAAGAATGTGATGCTTTTTTAATCACTTTCAATGCTAAGGGTTGCAATTAAGAAAGGCAGATTCAAGACTGAGCAACATTTCAGTTTTCTGCAAGTGAATTTCTGAAGATGTTCAACACGCACTACAACTTGAGATCCATTTAGGACAACCTACAATGGGGTTCAGTGGAAACTAAATGCTGGACAATTGTCATATTGGTATTCCACACAGAGCATACATCCTAGAATGTTACAGTCTCAGAAAACATAATACTAAAGTCTGTTTCCTAAGATGAAACAAAGCATTCAATAGTCAGACACAAAACTGAATTGTGAACTTTGTTGTGCAGTAGACCTTGCTGTTGGGTAGATATCGATTGATCCTATCCCGAGCTTCGTCTGCTGCATGTTCCACTAGTGCCAGGACATGTTCTTCAGCAGTGCTATCTGTCAGGCTGCAGGCATTTCCCTCAGGTTCAAATATGCAACTAAGAAAGAGAAGAGGAGTAGCTGTAGAAATTAAAAGCTAAAACAAAACAAAGGGCTGAATTCTGGGTATGCTAAATAGAACAAATCAGTCCCACTCCTCTCCCAGTGTCAGTATACTTTGGCATTTAAGTGTAATTATTATCATATTATGAAACTGAAGTTTTGCAGCAGAAGCTGAGAACTACCAAGCTACTGAACTTCAAAAATTTAATTGTTTCCATACCTCAATAAAAATAAAGGAAGTATTACAAAACAGAGATTGGGAGTAAAATTGCATTAATACAAGGTGAATGCTGTATGCGTCCTTAGTCTCCCACATGCACGAATATGCTATTTTCACAACTTCCAAATAGAAGGATGTAGAAAAGAAATTATGTGATGAGGGAATGGAGACTGTGTAACTCTAATCTGACAAAAAAGAAATAACAGGCTGCATTTATGAGGATGTCATTTAGCTGCTTGCAGAAGTAGGACACTGCTCCCAGTCTAAGGGAGTCCTTTAATTCCTATGTTTGTTAATACTGGCAATTAGTATTCGTAATCACTATCAATCACACCAGTCCTTCTCATTGAAATTACAGAATTTGACATTTATCCTTCAGTAGATCCCTTTTCATTAAAGCACCAAAACAATAAAAACATAACAAATAAACATACCCAGGATGGAAAAGGACATTATCTTAGCGATTATATAAAATCAGAGAAAGGTACTATTATAAAAGGGAAGTGTGAAGATATCATAGGATACGGCAGTCTTCACTATATTACATATTTAAAATAAACTTTGTACATCAAAATCTTTCAGGGCATTATATGGACATTAGACACTAGGGCCAAACACCTTAGGTACTGGGTAGAGCATCTCCTCACACCAAATCCATTTCTCTCTCCTGGGGTATCTTCTTCCATTTGCTTAGCTAAGAATTTCTCTCTGTATAGAGATTCAGATCCGATACACAAGAAAGTTTTGCTATTAAAGACAATAAAAACATCACAGGATCATACTATTATGAGACAAATGCGTTACACGACTTTTGTTTCATTGAAACTTTAAGAAAGGGTGTATACAGCAGGAAACTCCTCAACAACTGACACTTTCTATCACACTCTACAAAACACTTAATGGATGAGAGTTTTGAGAGAATGTTCAGAAGGTTGCAACATTCTGGACAAAATTTTCAAAAACTACTTAGATATTAGACGTCCAAGTGATCAAGTCACTTTTTAAACTACAGTACAGGGTCTAAACTGCTTTAACACTTTGCAAACATTGACTTCGGCTCTTTCCTTGTTTTTAACTGTGAAATATGAAGGCAAAAATATCTGCTATTAGGTCCAATTCTCCCCCCAAAGCTCTTATTGTACATCAAAAAGAATAATATCTATCCTATTGATGCCAAAATACAAGTGTTTAAAAGGTCAAGTTAATTAGAAAAAACAGATTAATTCCAACTACTAAAGTTACATAAACATTGAAAAGAACAGGAAAGTAAATTTATACCACAACTGACTGCAAGGAAACTTGTATCAGAATAAAATTAAAGGTCAATTAGTTTTAAACTATCTGAATTGTATGTTAAGGTAGATATTAAAGACAGAGCAGTACTATGTTGCTTGGCAGTCTCTATTTCTTGCTCTGTTAGCTATCTGTATTTGAAGATGAGCACTCAAAATGTGGCAAAGTACAAAGTTACTCCTGTAATGGAGTTTATGTAAGAATTAATCAGAAGAGAACAGCTATTATTCTGGGCACCATTCAAACCAAATCATCCTATCTTTTAAAAAAAACCCCCAACAACCAAAGCACGTCCCCTCCAATCAAGTCTTGCTTACAGAAAGGTACTTTCAGTTAATTCCTATACACAGTCCATTAAACAAAGAACAAATTACACTTTGATAATTCTCCATGATACAGAAACAGATATGTTTCTGTATTCTGACATTAGAATAGTTCCAGCCAAAAAAAATTACTCAGTTCAAAAATAATTTTTGAAGATACACGTTGCAGTCTCCTATTTCCACAAAACAACTACATTAAAATACTACTTCTTCTTCTATCAGGCATTAAACAGAATTACAAAAATGCTTGAAGTGTAACAAAAATCATGTGGCTGATTAAAATTCTAAAGTTCACTTTTAACAACAATGAGAGAGCATGAACTTGAAATAACAAGTTACATTTCACTTTTTTTACTTTGAATGTTTAAGAAAGAAGCCTGCAGAACATATCTACATGATCAGATTATTTAAGACATGACTAGTAATGCTCTGTTACAGTTTTATTTTCATAAAGTTCCAGTTGATATAATGCTCTACAATTTAAATTCAACATCTATCCTAGGATGTCTATGTAAGAACACTGAACAACATAATTTGCTTGTAAATCACAGTTTCTGCTAAAATCTCCTCATAAAATAGAAAATAAGACCCTTTAATTTGACTAAAATTAGTTTTTAGCTGTAAAAACATGACTTTTTGACATGGGGATGCCTATTAGTTGGAAGATAGCTATTGCATTAGCAATATATTTTACAAAGAAGCTTAATAAGATTTCATTGGGAAGATGTTATCATCTGCTCCAGAAATAATCTGTACCTCTATATCCTGCCAGATAAGACTAAAGTTAAATAAAATCATTTACTGATCACACTGCCATCCTGTTAGAATTTGACACAGTCAATCATTGGGGGGGGGGGGGGAGGGTAGAAAAAAAG